CTCTGGGTGATTTCAAAATCAGCAAGCAGGTGTGACGAGCCTGGCCTATTCCTCATTCGCTGGAGGTCAGTGGGAGAAAAAGCCAGAGATGCTCTTGGGGCTGGGCCGGAAGGACCTGCTGGTGAGCCCAGAGTCCCAGCCTCGGACACACCCATTTCAAACCCACTGTGACTTCTGGAGGGGGCATCTTCACGTCTGCCCTGTCTGGGAGACTGTGCACGGGACAGCAAGAGCAGGGGTCAGCAGACTATGGCAAGCTGGAAAATGTTTGTTTTACACTTTCGAAGGATTGAAAAACATACACAACATTTTGTAAGACCTGAGAATCATCTGAGTTCGAATTTCAGAGTCCAGAAATAAAGGTTTATGGGAACACAGCCCCGCTCACTCACGTACACACCGTCTACGGTTACCCTCACCAGCAGAGTTATGTAGTCGCTACACACGGTGTGACCCACAAAGCCTAAAATATTTCCCATCTGGCCCTTACAGAAAGAGCTTGCGGGGCCCGGCTCTGGAGTTAGTACGGGTGCCTGTGCGACAGTCCACACGGCCACACAGCCGGGGCAGAGCACAGCCCTGGCCCCCGGGGGTAACTGGGTTCTCCTCAGCCTGGGGCTGACCTGCAGCTGGCCCCCTCGCCCCCACCCAGGTTTGCAAGACCGGGGGGGGGGCTTTCTAGCACAAATGTGTACAGAGGAACGAGGCAAGATTCTGAGTCAACAAGATTCAGCCTCCGTGATCTCTGTCCCGTCCCAAGGCTGTCCCTTGGCAATCCTCTGGGTGTAGGGCAGGTAGGGCAGCAGCAGGGAGGGCGGCAGGCTCGCAGGGAAGGGCCCTCAGCCTGGGGAGGTGCCCAGGGCCGCAGCAGCAGCAGAAGGGGTGCAAGAACAGAGTGCCCCCCGCCTAAAGGGCAGCCCTGGGGCCTGACCGTCCACCAAAGCGCTTGGAGCAGCGCCCTCAGGCTTCAAGGGCTAGAATAGGTCGCTCCTGCAAAGCCCACTCTACAGGACTCTCAGGGCAACTGTGGAGATCCCCAGGAAGTTGCCAGAAAGGCTGGAAAGTCCCTGCTCTTCCCCGCAGGGGCACAGCCAATCCTCTACGTCCCCCCGCGGGGCGTGGAGGCAGCGGCTCCTCCGGGGCTCC